CCAACTGCCCAAGGCCCAGTGGACAAGGCCCCCAGGCCCGAGCGAGCATTTGAGGTCTGCACGGCCTGGCTGCTGCCTCCTCCGTCCTCCGCATCCACATCCCTCCCTCCTGTTACAAATGATCCACGTGAAAAATACCCATCTTTCACATCTTAGATTCTCTCTCACCTTTCCCCAAATGCTTTCCACGCTTTTGGAGACAGAATCGAGCATTTCTTCCTATATAGCCTCCCCGAGCTAGCACATCATCATCATCAAGAAATGTATTGAGACCTCAATCTGCATCTTGCTTAATGCTAAGCCCACGGGATACATTTATTTTTTCTTCAGAGTAGTTATTGCACTCAAATGGCTGTTGGCATAACTGTCTGTTTAATGCCTGTTTCTTTTCTAGATGGAAAGTTCCCAGAAGGGCAGGCACCATTACTGCCTGGTTTATGACTATCTCTACAGCCTCAGCACAGCTCCCGGTACATAGTAGATGCTTAAACATATCTGACAATAGGCCAGGCGTGGTGGCTCATGCCTGTAATCCCAGCACTTTGGGAGGCTGAGGCAGGCAGATCACGAGGTCAGGAGATCGAGACCATCTTGGCCAACTGTCTCTACTAAAATACGAAAAATTAGCCAGGTGTGGTGGTGCAGACCTGTAGTCCCAGCTACTCGGGAGGCTGAGGCAGGGGAATTGCTTGAACCCGGGAGACAGAGGTTGCAGTGAGTCAAGATTGCACCACTGCATTCCAGCCTGGGAGACAGAGACTCTGTCTCAAAAAAAGAAAAAATCTGACAATAAATACCGTCATTATTTCACCGAACTCTCACAATAATCCAATTAGTTTGGCACAATTATTAATGTGAGTTTACACCTGAGGACACTGACGAATAGGGCAGTTAAGTCAGTGGTTTAAGTGATGAGGCGGGGTTTGGAACCTGCGTGGTCTGCCTCTACAGCCCACGTGCTAAACCCGTGCACTACCCTGAATTTCCACACACCTTTACTTCTGGTTGCCAGAATGAATATTTTTTTTCCTCTTGTTCTCTCACAGTCCCTAGGAAGAGCCTGGTCTCTACTCTAGGAGAACGAAAATTTTCTCATGGCAACAGCAAGAGGCTGCCTATATGACAATTGTAATCAGTGGTTGTATTAGCCACTTTACCACCTCCAAAATTAGCAGAAAAGGCCAACTTGAGCTTTCATTGTACAGCTCTGCTGATGAAGGGATCCTTTTAATTACATACTCAGTGCCGATCTGCAACACAAAGCATTTTAGTGTTTCAACACAGTTGTGCACCAAAGTATAGGCCTGTGTGAATACAGACAATATGAGGGGGGAACGATGTGTAAAAGTGATTCTTTGCCTAGATTGTAATTTCTTTTTGGCATTCAATTTCATCTAAAGCCAGTTCATTTTCTACGGTAATCCTAAATCTCTTCTATATACTGAGCACCCGATGAACCCTTCTTCAGTAATTCTGTAGGCATATCCCAGGTCAGATACTCCCCCTTCAGATTGCAGATGAAATCTGCACACTTTGTTAATTTGACTCATCACTGACTGATTTGCCTTGAGGGCTCTCCCCACTTACCTGCGCTGGCACATTGGTCAATTCCCGCAGTACAGGTGTTGAACACAAAACCAGCTTCACTCAGCATCATGCCAGGAGCTCATGGCATTTGTATCCCACTTTCCAAAGCAATTTTTGCATGCCATTCTGTATGGGATTTGCACTGAGGTGAGTAAGGCCTGATGGGGCTGATCCCACAGACCTTTCTCAGACAAGGGTATCCTGACTTTGCATTTGTATTTGGTCAGGGGGAAAAGGGAGTCACTTTTAGTAAGCTCCTCCTATGGATCACAGACTCTAACAGGCATTCATTACCCTGGTTAAGCCACACAGAGACCTTAAGATGCAGATATTAAGATTCACCTCCAGAGACAGAATGCCTAGGTTGGAATCCTGTTCCTATTCCCAGCTGGTTATCTTGGAAAAGTCTCTTATCCTGCTTGTGCCCTGATGTCATTATCTGTATAATAGGAATACTAATTCTCCCTATGTCCCAGGATTGTTGTGAGAATTAAGTGGGCTAATCCCTTCAGAGCCATACCTGGAATGTGGCAAGCACTCAGTAAGTGTTAGCTGCTATGGCTGAACAAACCAAGCTAAGCTCAGGTTAAATACAGCACTCAAGGTCACATGCCTCCCAAACAGTATCAACTGGTAACCAGGACCTGCCTGACGCTTAAGACCCTATTCTTTCTAGGCTTTCAGGGAGGCTAGGCCGAGGGGGCTCACTGCTGGTCCACTCCTTGGAGACTGTAGTCAGCGCCCTGGCCTGGCAGAGCATGACCAAAAGACAGTCCTTCCATGTGCATGGTCCCCGTGTGGCCACAGCACGAACACACTGGCTTCTGCTTCCACTGCTCACATGCTGTTCTCTCAAGGATGACCATGTACCTCCTAATTGCCACTGATCTTTCTCTCTTTTTTTTTTTTTTTTTTTTTTTTTTTTGAGATGGAGTTTTTCTCGTTGCCCAGGCTGGAGTGCAATGGCACAGTCTCGGCTCACTGCAATCTCTGCCTCCTGGGTTCAAGCAATTCTCCTGCCTCAGCCTCCCGAGTAGCTGGGACTACAGGCCTGCACCACCACATCCGGCTAATTTAGCATTTTTAGTAGAGACAGGGGTTCTCCTTGTTGGCCAAACTGGTCTCAAACTCCCGACCTCAGGTGATCCACCCGCCTTGGCCTCCCAAAGTGCTGGAATTGATTACAGGTGTGAGCCACTGCCCCCGGCCCCGCCACTGACCTTTTAAATCTTTCTTCAGTCTTGCTTGTTCACAGCATTTGATGCACCTGAACACTGTCTTTCTGAACCTCACATTTCCCAGCTCCTGCACCCATGCACTCTTCTTGGTGTTTTCCCATCCTGTATTTTTCCTCCTCAAGGACCCTCAGTGGTTAAGTGGTCCCCTTAAAGTCCCTGTCCTTGACCTGCTCCCTGCCCACAGTCTTCCTGGGTGATTGTAATCACACATACAATGGCTCCCAGGCCTGCACCTCGTGCCACCTCTCTGTCTGGGGTGCCTCTGTCCTGCCCACCCCTTCACGACAGGCAGGTCCAAATCCTGCTCATCCTTCCACGCTCACTCTAGACGCCAGCCCACAGCCTTCTCGGATCCCTCCCACTCAGAAATACTCTTTCCGATTCCCACAGTACTTCATTGCAGAATTCATCATTTTCTAAATTTATATCACAGTCATTTAAGTTTGTGGCTTCTTTTTCCTGATAGACTATGAGTTTGCCAGAAATAGAATCCATTTTTGTTCCTCTGGCAGTACTGTACATCTAATAGGTGATACAAAAAAGACAGGCTGACACATGACTGTGTAAGTGAAGTATTTCTTAAAACAGAACATGAAGACTTTGGGATAATTTTGCCTGAAGACAAGAAAATGGGCAGGGTGACCTCTGGTGTCATTTTCAGTTTATGGGTCTATAAACCCATCTTTAGGGTTAAAAATGCCACATTAATAATTTATGGTGATGAGAATAACGGTCATTCTGGTTCCACTCCTTACCAATTGTGTGGCCTTACGAAAGTGGCATCGACACTCAGCCTCTGCTTCTCTTCTGCAAAATGGAGAAGGATGATAGAACCCACCCTCCAGAGTGTTGAGGGATTAGATGGGCTGGCATAAACAAGAGGCTGGCACCCTGGTTGGAACGTCATATGTACAAAAGAAATGATAGCTGTTATATGACTCCTTTGACATATATTTATTGAGTAGCTACTCTGCAGCCAGGGATGTTGGGTCAACTCAAGCCCAGCCTCCTCCAGGAAGATTTCTTGGCCTCTTTCAACTTATAACATTCTTTCCTCAAAGAATTTTGGTCCTATCAAGATTAGATTTTTACAATAATTCGACCAATAAATTAAGCATGCCTATTAGCAATCAGGTCCAGAGAGAAAGTCCTAACTTTTTTCTTGATGCAATTTGAATTCCCCAAACATAGAGTTGTTGTCAAAACCCATTAAAGTATTTAATTTCTCTTGTCACTGCACAATTCCCCAAGCAGACATCCAGACAGTTTGCAGTGGTGCTTCTCACAGAAGTACTAAATGTTTAGTTATCAAGGTACATTTTTTAGATGATGCCTCCCTGATGGCTCTGGAGACTCTAGAGAGACTGTGTAAGTTCAAGTGCAAGGTTAAGGCAGGCAGCCGAGTGGCAAGAATTGCAGGGAGTATGAATCACGAAAGCCTGGGCTTTAGCTCTGACACTGCCATTTCCTGGCTGACTGACCTTGGGGAAGGTACTTCACCTCACTGAGTGTCAGTTTCCTCATTTGCAAAGTGGTGACGGCACCAAACCCACAGGGCTTTGGTGGAATACCAAATGTAAAGAACATAGGAGCATGCCGATGCATCACTGGTCCTTGATACCAGACGACTTAAAAATCTTGGAGATTTGCAGATGCACAGACTGGGGTCTAGAGGCTGCCGTCCCCCTCCCCCACCTAGAAGGACAGCCTAAGAAGCAGTGTGTTTTTGGCGACACAATGACCAGACCCACTGGGTCTCGACTCTTCACAGCAGCCTCTCCCAACACCCATTCAAATCAATTAATACCCCACTTGACTGACTCACCCGGTGGGAGCCAAAGGTTTCCATGCCAACAGGAATATGGTGGGCATCCCAACCCCCAAGAAAGAAAACAAAAGCGACTCTTTTAGTTTCCCTACTAACAAGCATGGAGCTGAAGTCAGAGCTGTCTCTTTCTCAGTTGTCATGGCAACATCTACTGACCTACCCCATCCTGCCAAACACACGCCGGAGAGAGAGAGAGGGCAAGGGGAATGTGTGGGAGGTGGTGGTCGAGGGATGAGGGGTAGGAGAAACGCTCCACAGTGCTCAGGAGAGAAATATAAGAACATAAGCTTTTACAAAAAGAAAAAAAAAATCCACTAGCAAATGCACATCCCTTGCCAGGGAATGGGGAAATTCCAGTTTTTACTGTGTCGTTCCTATGGCGATTATTTACAAATTTAAAGTCTATTCAAAAGGCCAGTTCAAACCAGAGGAGGGAACAATTATTATTTCCTCAGCTATGACACAGAGACAGGGGGCGCTTCACTTACACATCTCCCGTCCTGCTCAGCATTTGGGGGACTGGGGTTGATGCCACTATCTGCTGCCTCTCGCACAATCGACAGGGCAATTTCCCCTTCGTGACCTAATGCAGCCTCAGCAGCAGCTTGGGAAGAACAGAGCAATGTGCCCACTCTGCAGGCAGGAAAACAGTGCTGTGACCACAAACTCATGAGTACCCACTTCTGTTTTCTATTTCCTAGTTTGCTCTCTGCCCCCAGAAGTCTCCACCCAGGACAGCACTTGAATTGGCCCAAATGGGATTAATTATTTACCACACTCTCAGTAGCTTTGAAGAATCATTTTCTGGCAGTCCAACACCTGCCAGAAAAAACCACCCAGATAGCCCACTTGCATCTCAGTAATCCAGTGTTCCTGGTTGAACGTGATACGTCGCCTTGAACCTGCTTCTTGCTATTTCCATGCTGTTAACGGCAACTTCATCTACCCCAGTGAGCCAAACTCCAAACCCTGAAGTCAGCTTTGCATTCTCCCTCTTCCTCAGCCTGGTTTTTGGGGACTTGTACAGAAGTCTTTCACTGTCTCTTTTCCATTTGGAAGCTCTGATTCAAATATTCTAGGGTGTTCTAGCAGGTGGAAAGCAGTGAGCAGTGGCTAACACCACAAAGGCTGTGGGGTCAGGATGCCAGGGCCCTCGCTGCTTGTACACCTGTGTGCTAAGCACATCCTCTCACTTGATTCTCGCCACAACACTTTGAAGTTAGGATTCTTCTTCATATGATTCCCGGTTTCCACAAGAGACTGTTTCCCTATGAGACACAGAAAACCGACATAATTTGCCCAAGGCCATCCAGCTTAGAAGTGGCAATGCCAGCTTAGGAATCTGGACTGGCTTGACTCAAAACTCTCACTCTGAACCATTATGTATAGCTCCTTCCCACCCAGCCACACTTTTTCTTTCTTTCTTTTCTTTCTTTGAGACAGGGTTTCACTCTGTTGCATGTGCTGGAGTGCAATGGTGTGATCACGGTTCATGGCAGCCTCAAACTCCTGGCCTCAAGCAATCCTCTTGCCTCAGCCTCCCAAGTAGCTAGGCCTACAGGCGCGGGTCACCACTCCTGGCTAGTTTTGGTATCTTTAGTAGAGACAGAGTTTCTCTATGTTGCCCAGGCTGGTTTCTAACTCCGAGGCTTAAGCAAACCTTCTGCCTTGGACTCCCAAAGTGCTGGGATTACACGCATGAGCCACCGTGTCCAGCCTATAACTTTCTTAAGAACGAGGCTCATCACTTCATGTTTCTGTCTCAGCACTGACACCAGGGCCTGCCTCTCAGCGCCTGATGAGTGCTGCCTGATCGAAGTTCCATACACTGTCTCAGCTCGGAGCTGACCAGCCTGGGTTCCACTCCCTACTGAGACCCTTCCTCCACGTGTGACTTGGGGAAACCATTAGGTAACAGCTGGAAGGCAGCAGTGGGCTGAACACTGTCCCCCAGAAGATATGAGCAAGTCCTAACCCCTGAAACCTGTGAATGTCATCTTGTTTTGGAAGAAAAGAGTCTTTGCAGATATAATTAAGGATCTCAAGACCATTCTGGATTTAGAGAGGGGCCTAAATCTAGGGACAGATGTTCTTTTTTTTTTTTTTAATTGCATTTTAGGTTTTGGGGTACATGTGATGAACATGCAAGATTGTTGCATAGGTACACACATGGCAGTGTGGTTTGCTGCCTTCCGTCCCCTCACCTGTATCTGTCATTTCTCCCCATGCTATCTCTTCCCACCTCCCCACCCCCCGCCCCTCCCCCATTTCCCCCCAACGGACCCCAGTGTGTAGTGCTCCCCTCCCTGTGTCCATGTGTTCTCATTGTTCAACACCCGAAGCAATGGCAACAAAAGCCAAAATAGACAAATGGGACCTAATCAAACTCCACAGCTTCTGCACGGCAAAAGAAGCAGTCAGTAGAGTGAATCGGCAACCAACAGAATGGGAAAAAATTTTTGCAGTCTACCCATCTGACAAGGGGCTGATATCCAGAATTTACAAAGAACTAAAGTAGATCTACAAGAAAAAAACAAACAAGCCTATTCAAAAATGGGCGAAGGATATGAACAGATACTTTACAAAAGAAGACATACGGGAGGCCAACAAACATATGAAAAGATGTTCTTATAAGAGAGATGCAGAGGGAGAGTCGATGCAGACACACACAGAGGAGAGGCCATGGGAAACCGGGGCAGAGGCTGGAGTCACGCTACCATAGCCAAGAGCTACCAAATGCTGGAAGAGGCAAAGAAGGATTCTCCTCTAGAGCTTTGGAGGGGGCATGGCCCTGTGGACACCCTAGTCTCAGATTTCTGGCTTCCAGTAATGTGAAAGAAGACATTTCTGTTGTAAGTCTCGCAGTTTGAGCCAACTCGTTAGGCAGACCTAGGAAACTGATGTAAAAGTCCAGTGTCCTTATCTCTGACTGGGGTGCCCTTGGGGGTTACTGGGAGATAACATAACTGGAAGGAACTAGAAGAGTGCCTGGTGCACAGTAAGCTCCTCAATAGATGCCGGCAGAACAGCGCTAAAACATTCTGAGCACTCAAACATCTTGGAAACTTCTTTCCCAAGGCACACCTGGGGACTGCCTCTGTCTACATTCTCAGGCTTGTAAAATGTTTAACTTCAGAACCCATGAGCAAGAAGGAAGAGCCACAGGGAGTATCTCCTCTGAGCCCAGCTGTGTGGGATGCGCGGGCAGCCAGCAGAGACACTGGTGTCCTTGCAAGGCTGGTAACAGTGCTGGCCCATCTCCAGCCCAAGATGATGAGCCTGTCACGGTGGGTTTCACAAAACATCTGTTTCAGGAACAAGCCTGTTGTTTCAGGCAAGCTCTAGAGATAATAGTATGTTTTTCCTATACACAGCCATGACATGTTCACTGAAGCTGAATATCTCTAAATGTGACCAATTTCTTAAGTGGCAGAAGCCCATCAAACTCTTTGAGAACAAATATGGTATGCGGGCAGCCCAAGCGGCTTCCTTTGCTGCCGCGAAGCTGAAGCAGCACTCACGCTGGCTTGCAGGGAGGCGGCCAGAGTGGGGGCGGGTAGCAGTGGCGATTTCTCTGATGGTGGTCCCTCTAAAGGTTATGCTTAATTCTGCAAGGGAGTCAGGTCCCCAGGCTTCATGCATATGGATGGCAGTGGTGGCTGAATGATAACCTTGCAATTTCTCTTCCCCACGTTAATCGACTTGGGTTGGCGACCGAGAATTTGACTAGACAACACAATGGCAGTGCCCATACCAATGATCCCAGGGTCTCAGCACAGCTCTGCCGGCTTCAACTCGATTCTGGCCTGAGATAAGAAAGCACTAGCGCGGCGTCCCACGTGAGATGAGCAGACCGTGCCTTGGCATGAGATAGAGAGACGGCCAGAAGGCTGACCACAGCGAGGAGATCTGGGACACTTTCCCACAGGTGAGGGGAAACTTGGGCCCATGAGGCACAGTTGCAAGATCCCCCATGGAGAAATGCCTTCCTGCAGCAAGCGCAGAGAGGCTATACCCTGCCTTCCTCCCAGGGGTGGAGTGGGATGTGAGCTTCTTCCCTCGGCACACAGATCAAGCCTGGAATACGTCTGGTGTCTGACGTGCTGCTTGGGAGTCAGGCCTGAACTGCTTGAGGGGCCCCAGGCAGCCCCAGCACCCAGTAGGGGTCTGGAGTGAGTCAGCTTCCTGGCCCCGGGAGCCCAGTTAGCCCGAAGCTGCCCTGGCTCTTGGAGCCTCCATTCTTAATCCCTCTGTTCACCCAGGTGGGCCACTGGCCTGTAGCCTTGGCTTGGGTCCCTTCTTCATTTCCTGGTCCTAACACCCTCCCCGTTCTCACCAGACTGCTGCTGGGATCCCAGGATGCCACAGGGTCAAGCCCATCCTGGCTGACCGAGAAGGTTCAAAGGCCAGGTCTAGGTAGCTGGGAAGGCAGTGGCTCTGATATGACCTCCTGCAATGATCCTGTGCCCTGCCAACTGCTCCCAGAGAGCACTGGCCAAAGAGTCAACACATTTAGAGAGGAAATAACTTCAAGCCACAGAGACCAGCAAGTTCAACATCCTCATTCTATATGTAGACAAGTTCTGGAGATGGGAGATGTGGCTTGTCCAAGGTTTCCTGGCACTTAGGTTTTAGGGCTCAGGAAGGAACCCAGGTTTCTGTACTCCTAGTGCAGTTTGTTGTGACAACGTCCGTGGCTCTACTTTGGGCCAGTATCAGCTGTTTGCAGACAGCGGCTGTGTCTAACTCATTTCTGACTCTCCAGCAGCAGCATGGGCCCAGGCCCGGAGCGGGGAATCAGTCAATGTTAGACTTGGCTGAATCAGTCCCCTTTGTAAAAAGAACAAATCAGACACAGACACATTACTGAAGCCAGCACAAACGTGTGACTTCAGGATCTTCAAGTGCCTCAACTACGAGCAGGGAGGTGCTACTTCTGCCTATAAAATGGCATGGAAGTAGAAGACGATGTCATGTTACGATGTGACTTTCTCCTTGTGTAACTGTGATCCTGTATCCACACCGTAATAGCCGCTGTGGTCTGGAGGTTGTGGCTGACAGCCAGACACTGCACGGGGGGCCTCGGACACAGGTCCTATTTAGTCCTGCTCTCACCCCTGCCAGGCAGGAACTACCAGCCCAGAAAGCTCCTGATAATAGGTGGAAACTGAGGCTTAGGCCGGCTCAGTGCTTTGCCCAAGGGCACATAGCTCCCAAGTGCTAGAGCATGGACTTGAGTCCAGGTCCGTGCGGTTTTACCTGAATTGGGCAGTTCTGTCATAAGAATAGTAATAACTAACACATTGTGAGTTTGCTCCTCTGTGGCAGGCAGGTTAGGTGCATGGATTCATTTAATTCTCACAGCAACCTTACGAGGCATTGCTACTTCACAGATGAGGAAAAATAGGCCCAGAGAAGTGAAGTAACTTTACCTAGTAATTCCAAGCCAGCCTAGAAGCCAGGGAGTATTGAGAGACAGAGCGAGCTCAGAATAAGAGGCGGGGGTGCACGAGGAGCTCTGGCTTTGGGCTGGATTTGCCAGCTCTGTGATTTGGGGCAAATTACTTGTAATACTTTTTTAATTTTTGGAAAATCGATATAACTTACACTTTACCATTTTAACTATTCGAAGTGTATGATCCGCATCACACACATGCATTGTTGTGCAGCAGTCACCACGTTCCATCTCCAGAACTTTTCTCATCTTCCTCCACAAAACTCTGTCCTATCACACAATCACCCTCGACTCCTCCACATCACTCCCAGCAACCACCACTCTACTTTCTGACTCTATGGATTTGACTACTCTAGATGCTTCCTAAAAGTGGAATCATGGCCAGGCGCAGCGGCTCACGCCTGTAATCCCAGCACTTTGGGAGGCCAAGGTGAGTGGATCACAAGGTCAGGAGTTCAAGACCAGCCTGACCAAGATGGTGAAACTCCATCTCTACTAAAAATACAAAAATTAGCCAGGCGTGAGGGCTCACACCTGTAATCTCAGCTACTCAGGAGGCTGAGGCAGGAGAATCACTTGAACCCAGGAGGCAGAGGTTGCGGTGAGCCAAGATCGTGCCACTGCACTCCAGCCTGGGCAACAGAGCAAGACTCTGTATTGGCAGGGGTTGGGAAGGGGGAATCATATAGTGTTTGTCCTTCTGTGTAGCTAGCTTGTTTCACTTAGCATAATGTCTTAAGGGTTCAAACATGCTATAGCACGTGTCAGAATATCCTTCCTTTTAAAGGCTGAGTCTGTTATTCATTCTTCATT